TGCTCTGAACTTCTCTATTACCTACTCCTGCCTACTTTGTTCTACATTTTCTTTTTGTAAAATAGGATGTGTTCTTTTTTTTTTTTTTTTTTTTTTTTTAAAAAATGGGTCTGTTTAATCTTTAGAACAATTCACACAGTTAGCAAGGATTAGTACACCTAATCTTTACTACCCCACTATATTCATTATCCCTACAATTACCTGATGATTATCAGCCTTGCAGATTCTACTTCTCTGTTAGGATGCCAGAAGTCCTACTGTGCTGGAGTGGAATCAGGGTATGGCTCTGAGGGGTAAGGTTATATTTCTTTGACAGCATGGCTGGCTTTTGATGACTTTTCAGAAGAATTATTTGAGATTTTGGATAATCTATGCCTCTAACTCCACCCTTATTGCGGACAATTGTTGATTTCTTTCCAATATCTAATACTTACATATTAACAGTTCTTTCTCTTAAAGTAAGATATTTTACCTATCCAACACATTTCAAGTTATAAACTCCAGATGCAGACATAAAAATAATATCTCTTTTTAAGTTCCAATAACAGAAAACCATAATCAACTATAGTACAGAAGTTGGAGATTGCATTATTCCTGTTAAATTCTGGTGGCCAAATAAAAATCTGTTTACCACTTGATACAAATAAAGGAAAATGTATCAACAATTCCATAGAACAGGGAGAAATCAGTCATCTTCTTAAAGTCACTAAAGGGAAAAGTACAAATGATGTTCACTGGAAGTCTTCCATATGCCATGCATTTTGCATATTTTTTTTTTTTTTTAAGGATGTGTTCTTTACTAATATACTAAATCATTTACTTTTTATTATCTTTATTGTTTATGGTCACACTTTCCTCACGATTGGCACAGAAGAGACAGTAAATATAAGTTGACTACAGGGCTGTAGTCTAGGGATGCCTCTGATCTCACATCATTTTGCTGTTATAGCCTGCCAAAAAGCTGGGTGAAAGAGTTTATACAGACTATTTCCCTCTAAGTAAACACATAAAAAATAATTGTAAAGTGTAGGAAGAGCATTTGAAAAGAATGAGACCCAGCTATTCCTTCATCACATATATCAGGCAATTGCTTGATTTTGTTGATTCTCTGACAAACCTTAGATCCTTTTGTTTACCAAGTGAGTAGAAGGTGCAAACATACCAACAAATGATTACACTGGAAACATGGAGGTGGGGCTTGGAAAACCAGTGTGTATAGAGATTGTAGCAAAAGTTTTATACTATAGTTGTCTTCTTTTCATTTTATTTCACTTTAGTCAAGACTGAGTTGTATAAAATCAGCTAAGATAATATTGTACAAACTTCTCTTGCCTCCTTTTCTTTTATTTAAATCTTCTTGTGATGATCTACATTTTTTTTTTCAGTTAACATTTGATTTCAATTCTTCACATTATTCCCGACTACATTATACTAATCTTTCTGAGGCATGGTGATGGGGGAGAGCGAAGCTTATAAAGTTCAGTTATGCACTCAGGATAAATTCTTTTGTTTTTTTTGAGATGGAGTCTCTGTCACAGGATCTTGTGATCTTGGCTCACTGCAGCTTCTGTCTACTGGTTTCCAGTGATTCTCCTGTCTTATCCTCCTGAGTAGTTGGGATTACAGGTGTGTGTCGAGGCAGATAGATCACAAGGTCAGGAGATCATAACCATCCCGGCCAACATGGTGAAACCCTGTCTCTACTAAAATACAAAAAATTAGGCGGGCGTAGTGGTGCGTGCCTGTAGTCCCAGCTGCTCGGGAGACTGAGACAGGGGAATCACTTGAACCGGGGAGGCGGTGATTGCAGTGAGCCAACATTGTGCCACTGCACTCCAGCCTGGTGACAGAGCGAGACTCTGTCTCACAAAAAAAAAAACAAAACCAAAAGAAACCCCATGTCAACTTCTGTAAAAGAATTATAGTTTTAGGCCGGGTGCGGTGGCTCACGCCTGTAATTACAGCACTTTGGGAGGCTGAGGCGGGTGGATCACAAGGTCAAGATATTGAGACCAGCCTGGTCAACATGGTGAAACCCCGTCTCTATTAAAAATACAAAAAATTAGCTGGGCATGGTGGTGTGTGCCTGTAATCCCAGCTACTCAGGAGGCTGAGGCAGGAGAATTGCCTGAACCCAGGAGGCGGAGGTTGTGGTGAGATGAGATCGCGCCATTGCACTCCAGGCTGGGTAACAAGAGCGAAACTCCATCTCAAAAAACAAACAAACAAAAAAAGAATTATAGTTTTACTAAGAGGTGCCTGAGCTCTGGAGTGGGTAGTGAGGGGTGGTGGTGGTGGTGGGGTGGTTATGTGTTATTGTAGGGAGAAGAAGTAGGTGCCAAACATTTTCTCTTTAATATTTGTGAGGTAATGGCCACCTTTAGGCAAAGTTTGGAAATGAGTAAATTTTTCCACTGGCCTCTTTGCGCATTTCTCTGATCTTCCATCATCCCTCTCCTTTGTTGCCGCGGCATGATGAAAACACAACGTGTTTCATGCTGTAATAGAGATGTGTGCAGGGTGTTAGATGGCGAGCAGTGAGGTAGTTCATTCTAATGTGTGACTGAATGTGTGCACCCCATGACCTCTCAAGAGTTAACTGCATTTAGAAATGAAATGTGTGTGAATTAAAAATTGATGTAAATTGATATAAGTTCAGTTCCAAGCAGGGAATAAAGTGGAATGAAGAAAATTGAGGCATTACAGACAAAAAATAGTTTGGGGGGAAGGGAAGGATCCACGTCAGTAGGTGCCTTGAGGTCTTTCTCTGGAGACATCTATCACCACTGTCAAGAGATTTGTTCTTCTCCCTTTGATCCTGGAAACTGGAATTTCATTATACAGTCTCTCTCCAAACCTGTACTTTTCTCTCTCCACACAACTTTATTTATAAAGTGTACTTTTTACTTTATAAAACCATCTCTTTTGGATAAAAGTTTAAAAGTGGCAGGTTTCAAGTCAAAGAGCATCTAGTGGTATAGTGAGCTTCTTATCATTTCCATTCATCCAAGCTCAGTACATTGGTGAAATAAAGTAATTTTTACCATGGAAAAACCTTTTACTTAATTTGTGTTAAAGACATGGACACAGACTTAGAAGATACTTTGGCTAATTTAAGTTGTCTTTTTATCTCTTGGCTAAAAAGGACTCCTTTTAGAAAGATGCTTCTAGGTTGAAAAATTCTTCTAGAAGGATTTACATATGATATGGATAATTTTTACTCTCTCTAATTTTTGACTTTTCTTACTTTCAATTTCTGGTGGTCATATAGCTTTGGAAACCAATCGTGAATTTCACAGTGAAAGGGACATGTTTTTAAACACTGCAAAGGTTTACCTAGATTTTATTTTTGTTCACAGCACTCTCCTCTACCTTTGTCCTTGAGATGAAAGAACAAAGCAGTGGCGGCAATCTTAACTTGATTTTTATGTCATAGAGGGGTAAAAAGGAAATCCTTTTGTGAGCATTTATTTGATAGAACGCTAAGGATATACACTGAAGGATATACCCTATTACATAGATTGGCTCTGGGCTATGCAGCAAGGTCACCACAGGAATAGGCTATCTGTCAATTTAGATTTGCCTATGTTAGAAGGAATCCAAGTGGTAGGTGAAGTGATTGAAAAACTAAAATTCAAACCAAAACATTTCAGTTCTAGAAATGCATATGAAAGAAACCATTTGGCGATAGTGTTTGGAGCCTTTCTTGAAGCATGTCTCCTACATTGTAGCTGAATTGCTGAGAAAAGAGACCATGTTTCTACTTTTAGAAGGAAAATAAAATCAAGGCAAAGGAGAGAGAAGCAAGGCAGAAAAGGGCTAACTTGTGGGGCTTCGTGACTTTATATGTTGATGTATCATTTTCTAATAGCAGTAATTTGAAACTTTCATTTGAAAAGAAATTCAAGTAATATATTTTCACTTAATAGAATTTGAATAATTATTTTTTCAAGTAAAGAAATTATAGCCACCTTGTAAGTGGCTTATGACAGAGTTAAGCACAGACTAGGAACAAGGATACACTTGGCAGGTGTGAAGGGGCAAATGGGGCCCTTGGCAGGTCATTTGGGTTATTTTCAATAGGGGAAAGAGAACTATCTAGGAATGTGCTAGATTTCAGGAAGTGTGCTCTCTCTTTGCAATCAACGATGCCAGTGGGTTTCATACAAAATTCTTAACACTTTACTGTAGTTTTTAGTAGATGAATAAATAACATGTTATAGCTATATGAAAACATGGCTAGAGTTTTTAAATGTTAACCCAAATATCATATGCCACATATGATCATTTGATATATGTGTATATAGTTAGGCAAAAATCTCACTGAATTGATTTTTAAGGATAATATTAATGCCTTAAAGAATGGCTTGCATTTTTTTTTCTTCTTCTTTTGTCTTGCTCAAATATCAAATGCCTTCTCCAGGGCTTCTTTTAACAGCAACTGTGCAATTTATATTAATTTCTTTCTGGTCCAAGAAGGTAGATTGCCCTTAACCATCTCCAATCAAAATCCTCAAATAAGCAATCTTCAAATCAAGTAGAGATGTATCTTTACTTGTTCCCATGTCTTTCAAAGTTTTACTTATTCCTTGTCTAAGTCATCATTAACAAGAAGAATCAAAATATGGGCATAGGCCTCAATGCTGTGATTTCACAGAAGTCAAAGGACTTGGATGCTGTAAGATGTGTCTCATCATTCTGATCACTTAAGACTACTGATCAAATACAAACCCACCTCAGATGAGTTATTAATTTAGTGAACATACTGGTGCAGATTAATTTGTTACAGGACCTAAGCCCAGAGAGCATGACCTCAGAGAACAGTCTGTGAATATCTTCTTTCTCTGAAGGAGATTTTGTACCCTGGTCCTCTGAGGGCTACAATTGATATCAAGAAGAGGTGCTGAATACAAGTTTTACCTACTTCATGATTTTCATGAGTGCTCTTCTTTAGAAAACGTTTTTTTTATTCATAAGCATCTTTTTGTGTTTGTACACAGGCAACATGTCAGCTGAAACACCAGTCACACTGAATATTGATCCTCAGGATCTGCAGGTCCAAACATTCACCGTAGAGAAGCTGCTGGAGCCTCTCATAATCCAGGTATTAATACCATGGAAATTATGACATATAGTAACTGCAGAAGAATTAAAAATGTGGGAAAAATGAATAATGAGGAAATAAAATATTTGATTTTTATATATGAATATGTCATCTAAAATCGTCCTTCATTTAAAGAATTGTTAAGATGTGAAAAAGTGTATATTTGGTAATAATAAAATTCTTAAAAATTTCCCCCACATTATCTTTTAGCAATAATAGCAGTTACACACACACACACACACACACACACACACAATTTTCAGAGTACCTTTATATAAATTATCTCTTTGATAAACGTGAAAACTGAATGAGGCAGGTAGGATGGTTAAAACCATCTTTATTATATAGATTAAGAAACTGAGGCCTAGAGAATTTCACTAACTTGCCTCAGGCACATGGCATCTTATTTGTCAAATAGGAAATTATCTTTAAAATACTAAAATGTATGAGCAAAGCAGCTATTTAAAGAAATTCTGTGATAAAGTCTTTCATAAGGTGAATAATCCTTTGATGATATGCATAATGATTCTCTGACTTTTTTTATTATGTAAGTCCAGATTTCATGTATTGGACTTTTTAAAGGCAGAGCTTAAAAAAATTTATACGCAGTGGTATAGATTTAAATTTTTGTCCTTAACCCACAATTTGTGAGGGAACTTCCCTTTAGGCTGACCTTACATTATGCCTCCTAATACAAGATGCGAGTCCCTTTTTCCAGGGACTGAAAGAACCCAAGGGTTACTTGGGTGAACAACTATGCTGATCTTTCCTCAGATCATGTAAATATGTTCTGCTTATCTTTTTTGTGAGATGGATGTGGGGAGGGGAGCAGCTATGAGAATAGACTTTGTACGTATTTTTACTTAGTATAAGTCGATAACCTGCTATGGGAAAGACAATTCAAAACATGTGCCTCCCTGATGATATCTTAATAGTTAACTTTGGCAGTCTTAACAACACTAATATCTGGTGTGCAATTTATACTAGTAACTGTGGAGACTTCATTAAAGTCCATCTTAGCCACCCACTAAGCAGTTTCATGTTAAAAAGAAAAAAGTCTGGGTGCGATGGCTCAGGCCTATAATTGCAGCACTTTTGGAAGGCTGAGGCAAGAGGATGGCTTGAGCCCAAGAGTTCAAGACCAGCCTAGGCAACACAGCAAGACCTTGTCTAAAAAAAAGAAAAAAAATCATTTGTTTTTCTGAGTAAGTTCACAAAAAATTTGGAATGCCAAAAAAGTTACAAAAAATAGAATAAAAACACTCATAATTTTCAAAAGAGATAAAAATTAATATTTTGGTGCATTTACTTCTAGTACATCAAAACTATGGGTGATTTTTATCATCTTTGTACCTTGTAATATTAAAGAATATATCTTCTTTATATATATCCTTCCATGTATATATCTTATATATATACATATATATCTTATATATATACATGGAAGGATATATATATGTGTGTGTGTGTGTGTAACAAGTGGAGATAGTCCTATATATGTACGCTTTAATTCCACTTTTCCATTTAAAATGATATTTTAATAATTTCCCTATTTTTTTGTAAGTATGATTTAATAAAACTGCTATTTATGTATACATTATATAGCTGCACTATAGTTTTTTAAAGTAGCCTCACATTTTTGGACATTTGTATACTGTGCTGAACATCACTGTACATACATTTTTGTCATGTACAATTTGTATTATTTCACTAGAATTAGTTACAAATGTAAAAGTTAAGGGCTAAGATATGAGTATTTTTATACTTTTTCATACATATCACTGATTTTTTGGGGGACGGTTTTAAATGAGTTCTCACAAGTCATTTAAGGTTTTGTTTCTATAAAATTATAAGGAGTGGGAATAGGGAAATGACCTTCATTTTGGAGACGGCTGGTGAAAAGCATATTAATGCTAGTGTATAAACCTTATTTGCTCTATAACAATGGAAAATTAGAGTTGGTCACTTAAAACTCGATAATCACAAAGGTTGCTAACATATTGCTTAAAAACAGAGAGAGTATCACAGGGAAACTATTTTTTATATTCCAACTGAAACTAATAGATATTTTTCTTTAGTCAAGTACATTGCTAAAGAAGTTAATACAAAGTATTCTAAGCAAATTTACATTAAAGGGTAATGCTAGTCACAGTGTGTGTGTGTGTTTGTGTGTCTGTGTGTGTGTTTTACGGCATGTTCTAAACCGATTATAATTATCTATAAACATTTATTGAGTCCACCTATAAAATTAGAAAGATGAAAATGACCTGAATAATCTTGTTTGATTGGAAAGAAATGTGTCTCTTTAAAAAAGTGTGATTATGTTAATTTTAGAGGGCTTTTGATGTTCCCGGATTCAAACTTTTCATGACCCACAAGTAGGTAAGACACAGAAAGGGAACTCATTACCTTTTAAATATCAGACAGTTCTCAGTTACATGTAAATATAATTGCTAATTTTGCCTTCCTTAAGATTGTTGTCAATGTTTTTGAAATATTCACTGATTTCTTAAAAGTGCTTTGGTATACAACATCAATGTCTCAGTTACAAAAATGATTTCAAGGTCTTAGCAATACTCAAGACATATTAAATTAAAATAATAATTTGTATAATGCCAACTATGTACAGTAACTATCTCATAAAGCAGAATTCCATTTAACAAAATTATTTGTATATACTCTTGATTTTCATTATAATGGGATTCCCTTTATCAAAAACCAGTACATTTCAAAGCCAAAGAGTTATATTTTAAAATAACTGATTTTTTGGATTTGATGTTCAGTCTTCTTGTACCTGTCACTTTGATCATGTATTACCTACCAACACAAATAAAATATCTCATTAAATTATATTAAAGGTGTTTCTTTCTAGGATGACATCATGTTAAATGTTTCATCATATTCTTGTTTGTTTTTCAAAGAGTGTTTATTTTTATTTTTAAAAATAAGAATAAGCTATTTATTTGAAAAGACTAAGTAGACCTCAATATTTTTTTGTCATTAACTTTTATTTTAAATTCAGGAGTACATGTGCAGGATGTGCAGGTTTGTTACTTGGGTAAACATGTGCCATGGTGGTTTGTTGCACAGATCATTTCATCACCTAGGTATTAAGCCCAGCATCCATTAGCTATTCTTCCTGATGCTCTTCCTCCTTCCACGCCCACTGACAGGCCCCAGTGTGTTCTCTCCATGAGTCCATCTGTTCTCATCATTCAGCTCTCACTTGTAAGTGAGAACATGTGGTATTTGATTTTCTGTTCCTGCATTAGTTTGCTGAGGATAACGACTTCCAACTCCATCCCTGTCCCTGCAAAGGACGTGATCTTGTTCCTTTTTTTTTTGTTTTTGAAACAGAGTCTTGCTCTGTCGCCAGGTGCCAGGCTGGAGTGCAGTGGTGCGATCTTGGCTCACTGCAGCCTGTGCCTCCCAGGTTCAAGCTATTCTTCTTCCTCAGCCTCCCAAGTAGCTGGCACTACAGGCGTGCGCCACCACATCTAGCTACTTTTTGTATTTTTTTAGTAGAGATGGGGTTTCATCATGATGGCCAGAATTGTCTCGATGTCTTGACTTCATGATCTGCCCACCTTGGCCTCCCAAAGTGCTGGGATTACAGGCGTGAGCCACTCCGCCCATCGGATCTTGTTCCTTTTTATGACTGCATAGTATTCCATGGTATATTTGTACCACATTTTCTTTATCCATTCTGTCACTGATGGGGACATTTAGGTTGATTCCATGCCTTTGCTATTGTGAATAGTGCTGCAACGAACATACACGTGCATGTATCTTTATAATAGAATGATATATGTTACTTTGGGTATATCCCAGTAATGGGATTGCTGAGTCAAATGGTATTTCTGCATCTAGGTCTTTGAGGAATTACCACACTGTCTTCCACAATGGTTGAATTAATGTACAAACCCACCAAAAATGTAAAAGCATTCCTTTTTCTGGGCAACCTTGTCAGCATCTGTTGTTTTTGACTTTTTAATAATAGCTATTCTGACCGCACGAGATGGTATCTCATTGTCATTTTGATTTGCATTTCTCCGGTGATTACTGATGTTGAACTTTTTTATGTTTATTGGCCGAATATGTGTCTTCTTTTGAGAAGTGTCTTCTCATGTTTTTTGCCCACTTTTTAATGGTTTGTTTTTTCTTGTAAATTTGTTTGAGTTCCTTGTAGACTCTGGATATTAGACCTTTGTCAGATGGATAGATTGCAAACATTTTCTTTGATTCTGTAGTTTGTCTGTTCACTCTGATAAAAGTTACTTTTGCTGTGCAGAAGTTCTTTAGTTTAATTAGATCTCATTTGTCTATTTTTGCTTTTGTTGAAATTGGTTTTGTCATTTTCCTCGTGAAATTTTGCCTGTGCCTATGTCCTGAATGGTATCACCTGAGTTTTCTTCTAGGGTTTTTATAGTTTTGGGTTTTACATTTAAATCTATAATCCACGTTGGGTTAAATTTTGTATATGGTGTAAGGAAGGGGTCCAGTTTCAATTTTCTGCATATGGCTAGCCAGTTCTAGTATCATTTATTAAGCAGGAAATCTTTCCACCATTGCTTTTTTTTGTCAGGTTTGTCAAGGATCAGATGGTTGTAGGTTTGTGGTCTTATTTCTGAGTTCTTTTTTTTTGTTCTATTGGTCTATGTGTCTGTTTTTATACAAGTACTGTGCTGTTTTGGTTACTGTAGCTCTGTAGTATACTTTGAATTTGGGTAGTGTGATGCCTCCAGCTTTGTTTTTTTTTTTTTGCTTAGAATTGTTTTGGCTATTTGGGCTGTTTTTTGGTTTCATATAAATTTTAAAATAGTTTTTTTTTTTCCTAATTCTGTGAAGAATTTCAGTGGTAGTTTAATAGGAATAACATTAAACCTACAAATTGCTTTGGATATTATGGCCATTTTAACAATATCCATGAGAATGGAATGTTTTTCCATTTGTTTGTGTCCTATCTGATTTCTTTGAGCAGTGTTTGTAGTTCTTGAAGA